TGATTCAATAAAATTTAATTTTGTCTTCTTCTTCTTGTGAGTACACTAGAGGGAAGAGAGAGAGCCCAACGTGTGGGCAAGCGCAATACCCACCAATCACCGGAAGAGTCTGTGGCTCGTGGTCTTCTTCTATGTTCTCTATTCTATCTTCGTTATCACCCATCGGCTTCTTTTCATTCTTCTACCATCATCCCTCAACCAACATACCTCCCTTAGATACAATCCAATTCCCCTCCCAAAACCCCCATCCGCTGGCCTAGCCCTTGGCCACCCAAGCCACCCAACCCGACACCAAGCCCACCCTCTGCCTCCTTGACTGCCGGCCCCATCAGTGTCCCAAGTCATTATGGAGATTCCAATCATCATAATGACTCCCTAAATTAGCTTAAGCAATAAAGGAAGGAGTTAGAATATTTTGAAATTCAAATTTGAATTTCAAAAAAATTTCCATATTTACAAATTCTAAATAAGGAAAGTTTTCAAATTTGAATCCAATCAAGATTTAATTTAGAGAGGATTTAATTATTCTCCCTCCTAATTTGTCATAGCTTGTTTGGAAAGTATTCAACTCCTCCCCAATCCCTCCCTCCTCTCTCTTGATGTCGCCAGCCCCCCCCTTTAATGGGCTTCTAAATTATTTTCCTATTCAAGCCCTAAACCCTACTTGAATTTGAACTTAATTTCAAATCCAATTTTCCTCCAATTTCACTTAAACCTTAAATTAATTTCCACTTAAACAAAATTCCCTAACCTCATCCTAATCCCTCCCTTTCTCCCACAAGCCGCCAGCCTCCCCATCACCCAAACTACCAGCCCTCTTCCTCCTCCTTAATCCTTATCGTCTCCTCCCCTCTTCCCTACTTCTCTACACCCACCCTTCAAGGCAAGCATGTATGGCCGATACTGAGATCGACCGCGGATTTATTTTTGACGAGCAAGGAAGGACGGATATTATTGGATCTCAGTTCTTTGACGTGTACTTTGGCATCGACTGCATCCTATACCAGCTTACACGGTCTATTGAAGAGCACATTCGTCTGGTCCATTGGATAATCGTCGATCACCCACCACCTCCTCCACTGTCGGCTACCTCTCCATCAATGAAGGTCTTCAGCTCCATCTTCCTAGTGATAATCTCCTTCCTTGTATGGTTCGTCATCCTCCGCTAAAGCTCAAGAGTGATTGAGTGAGAAGGTACTCAAGGTGAACCCCTCATTATTAAGTGGTGGATTTTGTTATGTGCATGTAGCATTTAATTTCATCATTGGATTTTGATTGAATTGTTTGGTTAATCTCAAGAGCGCTTCTTTGCCTAATCAAGTTGAATGTTTTGAATTCTGAAAGCTTCCTTTATTGCAAACAATAATTTTATATTAGCAAGTTTTGATCAATTATTCATTTAATTTCTCAAGTAACTCCTAGTTGTTTACATCAGAAGATTTTCTAGTCTAGGTTGTACTTCCTCTTAACAATACAATGCTAACTTAATGTTCAATTCTTCATCTAAATAATCCAAATATGCTTATGTTATTGTTGTTAAAAATTTAATTGTGCCCTTCTCTAAAGCTATTGACTATTTAGATTTTGCATTGTATTTGGAGCACTAACATTTGAGCCTACAATTTATGCTAATCCTTCAATTCATTTTTTATATAATGAGATCTAGTGGTGACGGAATTGGGCGTGGTGATGGTTCAATAGAGCCCGACATTGAGGACAATAATCCTTTGTGAAGTCATATAACAAAAATTTTAAAAAAAAAAAATCTTCTAAAGGTGGTGATAATATTGTATTCAAATGTAATTACTGCAATGTTATCTATAAAGGATCACACTCTAGAGTTAAAGCAAGCTCATTTGTTAAGAATTGTTGGTCATGAGATTAAAATTTGCCCCAAAAAAGGTTTTTCACAGTTGATTGAATTGTATAAAAAAGTTAATGAAGCTGAGCAAAGGATTAGAAAAACTCTTCCTAACGAGATACCACTACCAAGTATTCATATTTCACATCCTTCCTCATCTCCTTTAGCTCAAACTGATGATGTTACCGTCATTAAATGACCATTTAGAATAAAGGAATATGAATCTAAAAAAAAATTGTAGATTATTCTTTGGAGAAAGTATTTAATTTGCAGATGAGAGCAACTAGATAGAGTACATGCTCAAAAAATTCTTATTGAATGCTACAAGTGTGCTTGTTATAATTTGTTTTATTTTTGTACCACTTGAAGCAATGCTACTTTAAGTCTACTCCTTTTCATTTTTACTCCTTTCGATGTTATATATTTGCTTCATTGTTCATCTCTCTGTTCCGTAGTACATGCTCAAATAATTCAAGTCAAAGTTTCACTACGTTATGTTCAATACTTTTACCATCCCGTGAATAAAATAATTTTTCTGTCTTTACTTGATAGGTTGAGAGCACATCCATCTTATTATTTTCATTCAACCACACTCGACTTTAGTATTAGTTATTCTTTAACTTCATTATACTAAAAAAATATACCCAGTTGCACTTAATAAAAGTTAACATATAAATCTTCCGAAGATTCTCTAATTCACTTAGTAAAATTGCACGTTATTTTCATTTTTTACAAGATAATTTCAAGTTGTGTCCTCAATTCTGGATCAATTAATTTTAAAAATGCATCAAATGTCCTTAAACTTATTACATATTTGTACTGCCTATCTTCCGAGAGTATTAACTTTCAATTTAGCATCCACTAAAATAACATATTATGCCCTCTACCTTTGTTCTACTATTCCTAAACCCATTATCTCTAAGAATTTATGCAGCATCAACCCCTCATGTTTCTAATACATTGTTGCATTCATACGAGAAATAAATCTTAAGCATGGATTTAAATCTATTGTAGCAACCAAATTTTATAGCACGGATATTCAAATACATTGGCATCTTTTCATTTTATTGCCACAATAGTTGCTACAAAAGCAAAACTTGAAATACACCATACTCCAAATATGTGACGATTCAAGAAAAGTAATAACAATAAAACAAAGTAAATTAAACATGGCTGACCAAAATGAAAGTATGAAAAGAAGTTTGAAATTCAAATAAAGCAAATTACCTTCAACTATTTAACTTTCATTAAAATGAAAGTTCCAAGCAGCTCAATTAAACATTATCATAGAAATCTTCGGACATACAATTCAAATTATTTTGTAAATTCTCCTGATGATGGTTTCTAGAAAGGAAAATTAGTAATAATAGAGATTTTATGAGAACTTTTGATATTACTATTACATGCTTCCTTATTCTTAAGCCAAACGCTAGATCAATATGAACAAGGATTCTAGATGAAATTGAACCATATATTTATACTCAAACTTCATGTTTGAAAAACTCAATCCTTCATTTATTAAAATTTCAAGGTGTCTCATTTGTGGATATTTTAAGCCAAGGTGCACACTAAAACAAATGGTGAACAAGTCAACCATCATATAAAATTCGAAATCACATACAACCGGCATATACTTGCATAGCTTGGAAAATCACCAATAAAATCATGGAATTATAAATAATAAATGAATGATCACTTTTGCCACCTTTATATAAGCATATAGTGATCCAATCGTAAGAAGATGGTATTTGAGAAAGAAGCATATTGCCTTAAGTTTTTATAACATCAAATCAACATATTAGAGAAGTAGCTGAAGAAATGGTTGACATGTTCCATGTTAAAGGACTGAAAGCATCACATTAATCAAACTTGATTTACTCAAATAAATTAAGGCCTCTAGTATGACCAATTTGTGTGTTCATAATTCCACTCACACAATGTGGACCACTTGTGTATGACAAAGAAAATCTTTTAACTTTTTCTAAGATAGACGCTTAAGATAATAAACAATTAATTGGAGAAAAAATAATTCCACAACATGTCCAAAAATAGGAGTGTTTGCATCCTATTTAGAAAATAAAAATTGAAAATTGTTTAGATCAAGACAATATGTCTAAATAGAAATAGAAATTTAATTCCATAATCTTATTATCATATGTTATGAAATTAAATATAAATTAAGTTATGAAATTGTAATTTAAAATTCAAAAAATGAAATCAATAGATCAAATAAAAAGTTAAATTAAATTTAAATACAAATTGTATATGAAATTAAAATTTTAAGCAATGCTTCGTGGGCTGGCAACACTGCCACTTTTAAATTTCATAAAAACAAAGCCCATTTCAAAACCATGCTGATACATGCCATTAAAAAAGAATTACTGAGGGCCGACAAATTCATTTGCAACATAAAAATTAGAAGCTAATCACAATAATAGATATAAGATTATCAGTCACAACACAGTAGAAACACCGAGAGAAATGAATGATAAGTAAATATAATAATAATAATGGATGAAGCCAATTAGGATAGTTCAACATGCATGGAAAAAGATAAATATGAGCTTAATAAGTGAAAAAATATAAGGGTAAGCATATTTCCTAATGAGGCCAAACTAATTTGCTGAAAAGAAGCGAATGAGGTTAAGTATTAGTTTACACATAAATGGCACTGCCTCAATCAATTTCACATTTTAAGCTGTTGAAGTCAGTAATTTCTCTTTTTTTTTTCTTTCCTGACAGATAAAGTTTATCAGATAGAAAAGCTTTACTTTCAGTGAATTAATAACAATAATGAATAGAAGCAACGATTAACTATTTGAAAATGGGACTTTCTTTTTTCTTTTCATAAGATGACATGTAAGCATAACTTGTAAGCCAAGATCACTAGATGAATAATCCTTTACCGTACACATAACATATACCAAAGAATAAATGAGAGATTTACCATCAAAGGACAGAAAACTTTAAATTAAAAATAAAGCAAGCAGTTGTATAGCATGTTAAAATTTTTTGAAGCAATATGAATAAGAAACATTTTACAAAGCATGCTTTCCATCGCAAAAACATGACAGCATACTTTTCTTTTCAATCCAAAACTAATGCATACATAATATTATAAGGAAATTATAAAACTGACCTCCTTTTGGGATTGGTAGAAAAAATTAGGCAGTGGCCGGGAGCAGTAGCTGCATGAATGCTCAGATAATCTTTCTCTAATTCTAACATCCAAATCACCCAAATGAAAAGCTGAATCCTTAGAAGATGAAGACGTTGACAAAAGGGCTATATCATCTAGTCTGAGACTACATTTAGGCCTATCAAACAAAATCAAGCTATCAATGGATCTCAATGGTGAGGTGTGTACAATGAGCTCTCCATTAGCATCCTCCTTAAGAAGTGAACCAGCCATCCTAAGCCCACGATGAACTGATGAAGAAGAGAGATAATTGATTATCCCCCAATGGTCCAGGAACCTCACAATCCGGCTGAGATCATATAGCTCGTTGTTAGCTACAAGCCCCTGGCAATCTGCATACGAAAGCCTCCGGCCAGGATTCTCCATATACTTCGCAATTATCTTGTTTCTTAAAGCAACGTACTTCTCTGCCGTGTGTTCTGCAGACTTCCCAGAGAAGAAGTGCGGTATCACTTGCCTCTCTAGCCGGTGAACCGTGCTTAGAGAAAACCAATCTTAGGTTCTCCAAGGGGCAAATTATCATCAGGCTACAAAACAATACAAGAAGAAGGGTAGAATCTGATAAAGCAGGAACAAACTAACCAGAGTGCATTGGAAGAAAAATGATTTGATTGGTCCCGAATGGCTTCATGAGACCTTTTCCTTCCATGAGAGGAGGAGGCGTGCAAACATATGACGAGGGCTTGTCAACGTCCGGTGGCTGAAGAGAGGGGTGGTCGGGGAGGACAGAAGAGAGGGACTGCAGCTGACCGTGGGAGATATTCTCAAGGAAAGGAAGGCCAACCGCACCCTCGTTGCCAGCTGAGGGGCCGGAGAAATGTTGCCGTTCCGCATCCACAATGGAGACAACAGATGGATGGGGCCGGCGGATAGTGCGGCGCACGACAGCAGGAAAGTCGCTGATCCGCTGGGCGCCGTCGGAGAAGACCTCGCTTTGACGCAGGAGTACAGCACTGTCAGTGTTCCGGTCTGAAGCGGGGGAGTACCGGTAGTCGTCATCCGCCTCATCATCGTTAGCCACTGCAGCCACATGTTCTTCCTCTTCCTCCTCACCAATGCGGGGCTTCTGCTGGCGCTTCAGGTTGCACTCCCGTTTCCGCTTCCTCCAGTTAAGCTGAGAATCTGCAGTTGGGGGCGGATAATGGATCAAAATCCAGTTAAGAGTGAGATCGGATAAAAGAAACCCTAAAATCAGAAATTAAGATTGCAAGAGAGAAAGGAGGTGAGAAGGGTATCAGAGAGAACCAGAAGATGGGAGAGAAGGAGATGCGGGAGACATGGCGTAGCCAGAAAGGACGTAGATTGGTATTCTCTGTTGGCACTGGCGAGAGCACGGAATGGGAACTAGAGGAAGCGGGGACGCTAGAGAAGCGTTAGGAAACCGCGGGTCACCGTACCTCGGGACGTGCACTAGGAGTCGGACGGTGACGCCTGGCTGTTAGGAGCCGGATGCAAATTATATAATTCAAATAATCAGAATTTTTTTTTTCTTTGGGAAAAATTTGAGGACTTAGCACATTTTATAAAAAGAACAAAAGATTACGATGATATAACAAAACTTAACCAATAAAAAAAGGCTAAGACAAAATGATAAAACAAAAAATATAACTCAAGAAAAAAGGCGAATTTCAAAACAGACATAAATCTTGTCTTGTCGGGACTCAAAACTAGTAGATACGATCATGAAAGTAATTAAAAACTCTCTTTTGGTTGCCCAAGATCATCCAAAAGGACAAAACAGGTGTCATCATTGTCCACAACCCAAAAAATAACCTTCCAGAATAGAACTTGAGCAACGAGAACTCAACGACAACAATAGCACATGCCGGAGCAAATACCAAGTAACACCTCCAGCAGCCATATCAGGTTGGGCAACAAGGGATGTCGCCTGCAACCCAATCAAACCAAAGGTAGTCAAATAAAAAATCAACAGGCACCAATAGCAACCATATACACCTCTAGTATGACAAAATAGCAGCATCCCGAAAACACGGCAACCCAAAAACTCGTAAGCATTGGAGAAATAAAACCAAATGCTGGCAACCAGAGAAGAGCTAGCCAGCCAAATAAAATCAAATGTAGGAAACCATACCAGAACCCGACAACCAAAGGAACATAGAAAAGGTAGAGAGCTCATAACAGCTAGTTGTAAGACAGCATAAGTTTCTCTTTTATCAATTTGCCCCATTTCCAATTGTCAAGTTCCAGGTAAATAACTCTAGAGATTTTCTTAGCTAAAGTGATGGCACAAGCAGCTTTCCCATTGAATTTCCTACTGTTACGTTCAATCCATAGGAAACAGACAGCAACATTAAAAATAAGAAGTATCTCATACTTAAACTCCCTGTTAATAGAAAGCTCGTCAATGAACTGTAGGGCTTGAGCAATATTGGGTCTCAAAAAGAACTTGTTGAATGGGGAATAAGCCTAGTAATGATTTGGAAAGAGTAATCACATTCAAACATTAAGTGAGTTGTATTCTCAACATGACTGTGACAAAGAGGGCAAGAAATATCCCCAATGTCAATATTTTTAGCACGCAAGGTATCAGCAGTTTTAAGGCCATCAAAGAGGGCCATCCAACTAAAAACAAAGTATCTAAGTGAGTGTTTTTTATGCCAAACCAATTGTGACCAATCCTCTTAAAGGTTAGAAATGAAAAACTCATTATAGAAATTCTTGGAAGAAGCATTCTCATCATTATCCCAGGTGATGTGTATGGAGCAGCAATCGACAATAGGAATATAATGAATGAAGTCTTTAACAAGTTGACTAAGAGAGCCAGGAAGTGACCAAGAGTCTCCAATTATCCATTTAGCAAGAGTAACATCAACATTGGCAGGAAAATTAACTTCAGAATTTGGAAACCTATCGGAGATAATATCGTTCAAGCACCAATGGTCCCAATAAATAGCAATGGGGCTATTAGATGAAACATGAAATTTGAAATTGCTTTAAAAATGAACAGCAGTGGAAAAAATGCTCTTCCAAAAATTGGAACTGTGACAAGGGAAAGGCTTCCAAGGGGAAGAATATATGATTTTTAACCATCTAGAAAGAGGGGAGTCAAGATTGTATAGCCTTAAAATGGTACCACGGTTGTAGGCAGAAATCTAAGGGATTGGAAGGAGGTAATACCAAGCCCTCCCCTTGAGTAAGGCTTGGTGGATCCAAGAGATGAGGTGAGTTGGAAGAAATTATTACATGTGAAATTTGGGCGTAGCTCATGTAAAATCAAGTAGTGTGATTTACAAGTGCCGAGTTCGAACGTAGCTCAGTGTATAGACTCTATTCAAATCGTGAAATATGAATTTTGAATATGAAATTCATATTTTATTTTTCTCTTCTCAGTCTGACCTATCCGGCCCAAAGGTTTTTTTTTTCCGAAAAAGTCTTCACCGTCTCGTTCATAGTAATGGTTGGTTGGAGGAGCTTTATAGAATAAGAAATAAGTGAACAACAACATTCAATAATAACTGTTTAGCCTGAGCATTCTATCCACACAACTTATCGAGTCTACTAATAATGTGGAACATGACATTTCAAAGTCAACAAGTTTAATAATTGGTTATTTTTTGGGCCTATAAAAGGTGATGACAATATGGTGCCAAAATAAGCATTATAAAAATTATAAATGCAATCAATCTGCTGTAGTAAAACAATATTAAAGCAAGCCGCTCGATTTTACTCTAGAATGCTTTATTCATGTTTTAGGATGAATTTTTATATGGTGTTATTGGAATGAGTATAGAGTATGCCTCAAATGATTCTTCAAAGTTTTTTATCAAAAGCACAAAGAATAAGGATCGGACAACCAATTAGGTTGTTCATTTTGATGCAAAAGATGATAGCATCCAATGCACCAGTGAGAAGTTTAAGACAATGGGTTTACTATATTCACATTACATGAGAGTTTTGAGGCTGTTAGATATTGTGAATATCCCTGAGAAATACTTTCTACTAAGATGGTAGCAAAAGCTAGAAAAATATCAATGCATGCCGCATATTCATAGGTACATGAAAGATATCTGAAGTTGGCAGTGGATTAATATTCTAAAATCATCTAAGCAGATTTACATATCAAATAAGCACATGAGCCCAAGGGAATGAGAAGGCTGAAAAATATATATTTGCTACAATGATGGATATTGCCAAAAATATCGACTTGATTCTTGATGGCAAGAGAAATAACCACAAGTTTCAAGGCAATACACAGGGCGACATTGCAAAATTGAAAGATTCAGTAAAGTGTAAGCCTAATAGCATCTCTAATGCAAGGTTGAAGGGGAACTGGGAAAAAGAAAAAGAAGCATAAGAGTAAGATTTAACTTACCTACTAATTGCTTTTCATTACAAATTTATAAGACAATATATGTTTTGTTATGCTTAATTTTTTCAACAGATAATATGTCGTGAAGGCAAATACAATTTGTTATTATGCCTAAACAGAAATGTCTTCACCTTCAAAACAAATAAATTTCTCAAGCATGCATGAATGCTTATGTGAGGAATTCATAAAATATAAATCAGCCAAGGCTTAAGTATAGAAGGATGATGATGTATATCATTGCTTTAGAGCAACAATTTAAATTTATTTGTAATGATTGATTGTTAAATTAGAAAATTCATTGTAATAATTCATACATTCTTCATTCGTTATAATAACGTAAGTTATTTTAGTCCGTTGTTATGTTATTGATCGAATGTGAGTTTTCACTATGTATTAACTATGTAAGGAACAACTTTTTTATTATGTATCTCTTAAATAACTTTTTGTGTATTTAATGTGTATTTACTACATATCAACTAAATATTTACTATGTATTGATTGTATACGAATTTAACTTTGTGTGAACTTGAAGGAAACTTATTTTTGTCGAGTGTGCATTCAGAATTAAATTGTAATAAAAAATATTTTTGATAAACTGTCAAGATAACATTACTGGGTATTTATTGCATGTTTTTTGTTTATTAATTGTGTGTGTGTGTATATATATATATATATATATAACTTTAGTTAGTAATGTATAAAGAAAATTATTTTATGTATTCCAGATATCAAAAATAATTTTTCGTATTATCTCATTTAACTAAATATTCTCTAATTTTCTCCCTTTGCTTATTTTGATTTTAGTCACGCTCCTCATAAATTAGCCAACTGAAAGCAGGAGAAATATATATTTATTATGTATTTTAAAAAAAATTAAAAGTTTCTACCACTTGTTATTTACTGCATAATATATTTCTAGCAAGTTATACATATGATTTATTAAGGTTTGTTGATTATTCAAGGAGCATTCTATAGAATGCTATTTAAACTTTGTTTGAAATATATTTGTGCGGGGTTCAAATGTTGTTCAAAAATGGCTAGAATATATTTCATGCATCTTCGATAACATTTGAGCTATATTTGAAACATCTTAAAATATTTTGCGATGATGGTTTAAAATCGATTAGATCTTTGTTCAAAGCTGTTTTGAATAGCAATTAACAATGATATACATAGTAAAGTGTGTTCTAATAGTTATGATAGTAGTTAATATTATATAGTAAATTGTTATGATATTATTAATATCCCCATTAGTGGCTTGCATTAAATCATTAAAGTAAAAGGTTGGAACATGTGATACTAACAATGTCAGAATAATAACTAGAATGCTAATAGCTCAAATGAATTTTGAAATTTTTTTCCATCTATATAAATCAAATGACCTACTTGTAGTGATCTTAGCTCACAGTAAGATGATCTTTGATATCTTATGGCAAGGATTCAAAATCTTGAATCACATTAGCTACAACTTTGATATGCGCTCTTGGAAGGATTACAACATCCGCATTGTGATTTGGTTGCTTTGTGTATACTATGGTGAATGTTCTCTTTCTTGTCAATGAATTAATCATTGAATAGTAAACAAATTCGTTTAACTTAGCACTTCATCTCATTTTTGGGGATGATCCCCAATGAGGTAACTTAGCAGGTTTGGTTTGAGAACCTCTATCTAGGCTCTAGCCATTGATTTGGTGGTGATAAAATACAATTATCTTTGCAATTATGTTTGCAATCTCTTCTATAACTCATGTCGTGAAGATGAATGATCACGTGAAAGAAAAGTTTGGTTATATTAATTACATCAAATGACTTTTACATGCTATGGAGTTAGCCACTTTTAAAACTACTGTTTACGACCATTAGGGAATATGTTTATCACTTAATGGTCAATAGTCTTGTGAAGCCTTAGGATATAATGGAAGAATTAAACTTACTTAATCCTATAAGTAATTACCTGATCCAAGCAAACCCAACCAGAGATACTACATTTCGCACAAATATAAATGCAGTATAATCAACTTTCATTTCATCAAAACATAAAA